TTCGGCTACGACGACGGCGACGACGACCACGACTACACTACTACTACGACGACTACTACGAGTGCTACTACGACGACGACGACTACTACTACTACTAGTACTACTGCTGCTGCTGCTACTACTAATACTACTGCTGCTACTGTTGCTACTGCTACCACGTGCCCCCCCCCTCCCTGACCGCTTCTTGAGGCCGGACATCAGCTGATGCCGCTGTGGTCCGAGTGCGTCGGGCTCCTGGAGTGAAGCAGCCGGGTTGCCGGGATCAATCTAGCTGGTTCCCTTCGAAATTTCCCTCAGGATAGTCAGAATGAGCACTTTTATCAGGTGAATCGAGTGATTGCAGGAATCATGCCGGTTGTGAGAACCCAGACCCCAGAAACATTGGCAAACAGTTCAGCGCTGACCCACCGGCAAATGGCAAGCACCGCATGTTGGGCCTCAGCCGTTTGAGCATTCATGTTTGTCATTTCATTCTTCCAAATCAGACATCCCAATGAACCTGTACTAGTAGAATGCATCGGATTCTCGAATGCTTAATTTAAGGTTTCGGGGCTTCAGCCAAATTAGCTTTCAGGGCATCAGCCATTCAGGATTTCAGCCATTCAGGCTTTCACCCACTCAGGCTTTCAGCCATTCAGGGCTTCAGCTGTGCAGGCTCAGGGCTTCACCCGAACTCCTGACTTCAACGGAAAACGGGTGCAGTTGAGGGTCTTTCAGGGCTGTGCTTGGGTTGGGATTTCCATCGCCAGCCATGTGGGGCTACGGCGGCGGTAAGGGCTGGGGCGGCGGCGGGTATGCTGGCACTTGGAGAGGTGCTGTGTCTGCTGGCGCTCGGCCCAAAGCCAATGCCAAGGGCGGTCAGAGGCCAGGGGGCTTATCTTCATTACACCATTAAACTCTAAATCACAGAGGTTCATACGATTTTCTCCTCAACCCCTGTGCAGGGCCAGAAGCACTACGAGTACCTTTCGTGGTGAGTTGATCCAGCGTCTGGACGGTGACCTGGTTGCCACGAGGGCAGATTTGGCACAGCTGCGGGCAGGGGGCGGTACAAAACCTTAAACCCTAAACCACTTAAGTTTAAATCTGAAATAATCGTTGAATCTTTTTGCCCCTGCAGGATGACAAGGCAGCCCTACAGCAGGATAAGGACAACCTCATCGCCGAGAAGACAGCGCTCATTGAGGAAAAAAACACGATGGAGACCAGGATGAACTCTGCTTTGGAGAGGGCTTCAGACGCTGAGTCCGCGCTTCTCAAGGTGCAGAAGGAGAGAGAGGACTGGTTTGCGAAAGTTGGTTCCATTGGTCTTAGTGCCAAAACCTTATATTTTAAGGGATTAAGCAATATTAATTAAGCATTTAAGCAATATTAAGCATTTGCTCAGGCCATGCTCCAGAAGCACAGCAGAGAGCTGCAGTCGTCCAACGATGCACTGCACCAGGCCTCGATGTCATCCGAACGGCAGCAGAAGAGCCATGACGAGCGCATGAAGCTGGCCAAGCGTCTCCAGGAGGCATAGGCGGTCCAAATCACCCTGAAGCCCGGACCCTCATGCCCACTATTAAAGGGTTCGGGATACTTGCATATTAAAGGGTTCGGGATACTTGCATGGGCAGGAAGCAGAGGTGTCGAACAAGAAGCACAGGGACAATGCCGGTGCGGAGTATGATCTGCGTGAGAAGCTGCGGAACGAGCGGGACAAGTACAAGAGCAGCAGCGAGAAGTACCAGCGCATTGCCGAGCAGGCGCAGAAGGCGCTGGAGCAGGCGCAGAAGGCGCTGGAGCTGGAGAAGAAGGATCACCAGGTCACGGCGAGGATGCTGAAGAGAAGAAGTGAAGAGACGACGAAGTCTTCGTCGTCTCTTAAGAAGTGAGCTCCTGAGCCCTGAGCAGTGATCCTTAAGGCCCAAAGCCCTCAACCTAGGCATGGCTCTTCCAGGCCTACAGCCCTCAACCTAGGCATGTCTCTTCCAGGCCCAAAGCCCTAAATACACAAAGGCATGACTTCAGGGTCCAGGAGGCTCGCGATGCCGATGAGTGTCACATCTTAGCTTCCTGGTCCTGCGATGAGCAGTGCAAAAGGGAGTGAGTGCACGTGGAAGCATGACTGATTGAATTATCCATTGTTCGGATGTGATGCATGTCCATTTGCTCTCTCCCAGGCCCGGCCTTTCGATTTTCCTGCTGCTTTGTCGCTGTGGCCTCAGTGTGCGGCAGTTGTGATTGAGTGTAGGGCAGTTACGATTGAGTTTTCAGTGAGTGACACTATGGACCACATGTGGCATGCTTCGTTTCGCGATCCAGTCATTCTGTTAGCAGCCGACGGGTTCCCGCCAGCGGGTACTCACCGCCTTTATTATGCACCTTAACCCTAAACCCTAAAACACCTGAGCCTTCAGTCCAAAATCCGAAACCAATGGTGATTCCTTGAGGCATTATCACAATTCGATTCTGATATTTACAATTCTAAATCTAAGCCTTTACTAAAGTGTAATTATAGTACGTGATTAGCAACCATCCGAGTTATCGGCGGGTACCCGCCGGCACTCATGCAGTCAGGTCCAACATCGCGAATTGTCGCGGTGGCCTGAGCGGCAGTTGCGACTGAGATTGCTTCGTTTCGCTTTTCTGCAGTCATTGCGTTAGGAGCCGACCGGCGGGTACCCACCCACCGGCGGGTACCCACCCACCGGCGGGTACCCACCCGCCT